AAAATCATTAACAGACAATCGTTCGATGGACTGAATTGCACAAAACGCATGATCGCACCGGCTAGTTTGGTGCGCGTTGGCATTTGTTTTTTTTTGCAGCGCTTAAATTATGGGTGATGCCTACGAACCACTTGGTGCTTTCGCAAATGGTGCGCCTCCGCCAGCACCACCACCAGGAGCACCGCCACCGCCGCCAGGAATGCCACCAGTACGTACACTCGTTCCACCACCTCCTCCACCGGAGCCACCAGCACCGCCACCGGATCCAGAAGCTGAATTATTGAAAAGTAACACAGATCTCAACACCAAAAAATTTGAACCGGACAGTAAGTTTGATTTTTTTCGTTTTACACATTCGTCATGATGAACTTACAGCGAAAATCAACCAGCTAACTTTGAAAAAAAATGCTTAGCACGCTAAAATAAGCTTGCAGCGCCTTTTGCTTTGCAGAGAAAGGCAAAAAAAAGAAATTTACGAGAAAAATGGCGTTATTGATATACGTGGGCGCCTTGGTACTTGGCGTTATCGTTTTTAACCTCGGTGTCGCTGTCGGCTATTTCGCTTTATAAATGCACGAATACTGCGGTATTTCTGCCTGTGCTCTTTTGTTTCTTGTAAATTTCAATCTTTTCTTTGCATCTACCAGGAAAACAGTCAAACTTAATCATTGTACTGACGAGGTCCAGTTGTAATGCTGAGCTAAGAACTTAATGGACCAAAACGTCTTAGTCATAAATTTCACACACATTATAACATTTCCTGCACTCATTCTCTCGAACCGTCTTGACTTTTGGCATGAACTGCATCTGCTCCTATTCATAGTAGCTGAGTCTGCAACACTGGTTTTTGCACCAATCCAGCTACTCAAAACAGTATTTGCTACATTTCTCACAAATTAACCAAGCGCGTCCGATAGACTTCTGTTCATACTTCACGATTGACCGCCGGAATCGTATTTTTGGCACTTATCCTGAACAGCACGGATTAAAAGGAAGATGAGCTTATTAGCAGCAGGAATAATAGATTAAGTGGAAAAATTTTCTTCTTTATAAAAAAGAAAATTAATAAAAGGGAAGGATGATAAAAGAAGAGTAAACTGAAACACTAGAATAAGAGATGAGACTGTTCTAAGTGTTGCGTGTATGAAGACATGTTACGATGCAACCTATGTTTGATGCCTTAACTTTGCTCACGGGTAGGAGCGGGAACTATCAGTACAGCCTCCTATTCACCGTGCACTAAACAGTCATGTGACTAATTTGCAAGACCGATATTCGAAAGAACAGAGAGGGATAGCGAAATAGCAGGGGAAGAGGGAGAGAGAGAAGACAGGAGAGAAAGTTAACCCATGGTACGGACAATCATTGTATGCCATTTATGAGTTTATCATTTTTTATGAGAATAATGTGACGACTAGCTTTTAATTCCTGAATCACCATTAGTAATGAAGGATATGCTGAATACTGCTCGGTTCCTGAAGCAGAATTTGGGGATGAAACATTGTATTTTAGCAATATCGAATCCTCTACGTTTATAGGTATTTATTATTCGTACTCAGACTTAGTTGAAAAATTAGTTTTTTGCCCCTTTGCTATTGACTGGATGATGCAATCAGAAGTCCAGACGTAGTAAACCCTCTGTTTGGATGCATCCCACAAATGTCCAGGCCCTGCTCGCTTGGCCCATATGAATGATGAGCCCACTCAGATTGACGACTTCAGTGTTGCGCAACAGGAGCATTCTTTCAGTTGCAATGCCGTGCTGCAAAAACGTC